ATCAGACATATTTGATTTGGACGGGACGGGCGTAACCACAGTTCAAAAAACTCAAAAAGTAGTTGCTACTTAAAGTCAGCATCTGATTGGTAGAGTAGTGTCGCGTGAGAGAGGAGAACTGATTACTTAAGTGAGTATTATTGGAACGAATGGAACAGCACTTCCATCAGTGTGGGTGTTTCCAAGAAAACAATTGGACAAACATAGAATACTACATGGTATTCCAGAAGAGTATAGTGCAACCGGTTTAGTGCATTCATCTGGATGGATAACCAGTGACTATTTTTTAAAAGTTTAAGAGCATTTTGTAACTCATGTTCGGTGTTCTAAAGAACTTCTTCTTCTTTGGGTGCCGTGTCCGTATTCAGACGTTGGCCGTCATCATGCTTACAATTTCCTGAAACCTTTCTCTGTCGGCTGCTGCGCGAAATAATTCTTCTACTGTGAAACCACACCATTGTCTAATATTACGCAGCCATGAAAGTTTCTTTCGACCAATCCACCTCTTTCCTTCCACTTTTCCTTGTATTATAAGGCGAAGTAAATGGTATTTGGGTCCTCTAATTATATGGCCAAAGTATTCTGTTTTTCTGGAAGTGTGCGAAACCCACGATATCATTAGGATTCGTCTATAGCACCACATTTCGAATGCTTCTAACTTGTTTAGCATTGTGGTTTTTAACGTCCATGTCTCACAACCATACAATAGGATCGACCACACATAACATTTCAGGACCTTCTTACGAATGTTCATTGACAAGTATCTGTTGCATAAAACTGGTTTCCAGGTCATAAAAGCCTTACGTGATATTTCGATCCTGGATATTATCTCTTCATCAGAGTCACAATTTACATTTAACCAGCTGCCAAGGTATTTGAAATGATTTACCCTTTCTATCTCTTCTCCATTAAGAGAAAGCAGACCTTGATCTATATGGATCTTTCCAACTGCCATCCACTTTGTCTTTGAAATGTTGATTTTTAGGCCTCTCCGATAACTTGCTTCACTGACTAGATTTAGTAATGTTTGGAGATCTTGTAAACTTTCTGCAAGAATGGCTGTATCGTCAGCGTATCTAATATTGTTGATTACTTCTCCACCTAGTCTTACTCCCTCTTGTCTGTCATCCAAAGCCTCCCTAAAGATTTCTTCGGGCCTGCTTTTCTTTGGTAATGTTATAAACAGTGACTCTAACCAATCATCTGGTATTTTTCCTTCGTTGTAAATTTTGTTGAAGAAAGTGGTTAAGCAGGCAATGCTTTCCTCATCCAAAAGTTTAAGTAGTTCGGCAGGGATTTGATCTGGTCCAGGTGCTTTATTGTTTTTGGCTTGCTGTATTGCCTTTTCGACTCCCGAATCCAGTATATTGGGACCTCTGTCCAACTGGTTGTCATAGGCAGTATTTGGAGCATTTTCCCTAGAAGCATCGACAAAAAGGTCAGTGATGTATCTCTCCCATTCTTTGCACTGTTGTTCATGATCACAAATTTTTCCGTCCGCGCTTTTAAGTATGTGAGCATTTTTCTGTTTTCTAATTCCGGCAGTATATTTAAGTTTCTTATGCAGGTTGAAGCTGTCATGCTTTTTTTGGAGGTCTTCTATTTCTTTACATAAATTCTCAAGCCAGGATTCTTTGGCTTGCTTAATTTTTCTTTTTATGCGTTTATTAATTTCATGATATTCGATACTATTTCTATTTTTGTGTTGCCGTCGAACTTCCATCAGATCTAGAATTTCTTGTGTCATCCACTCATTTTTTGCCAACATGGTAGGTGTTTTCAAAGACTCTTGTACGTTCTCTAAAATCGAGTTTTGAATGGCATACCAGCATTCGTTAATGGTTCTGTTTTCGTTTGGTATATCTGATATTCTGTGTATTTTACTATTTATTTGCTGTGTTATGTGTTCGCGCGTTTGAGGGTTTTTCAGGGGGTCGAGACATATCTTACAGGGCTTAGTTGGCTTTGTTAATTTCTTCAATTTAATTTGTATTTTGGAGCAGAGTAAATTGTGATTTGAGTTTATGTCAGCGCCGGGGTAAGTTTTTACATCTTTAATATTGTTTCGAAATCGGTGGTTTATTAGGATGTAGTCTATTTGATTCCGTACTATTCTGCCTTGATGTCCATCTTGAGGGGATTTTCACGTGTAAAGACGCCTTTCTGGAAGTTGAAACCAGGTATTTGTAATGGCGAAGTCATTTTCTTGGCAGAATTCTATTAGCCGTTCACCTCTTTGACTTCTGTCTCCCAAGCCAAACTTTCCGGTGATGCCCTGCGTCATCTTCTGTCCAACTTTAGCGTTAAAGTCACCCATAATTATTATTGCTTCGTGTTTCTTTGTTATTTTTAGCACTTCTTCTATTTTATGGTAGAATTCTTCAATATTCTGCTCATCTGCGTCAGCAGTGGGAGCATAAACTTGGATGATATTTATATTTACAGGTTTAGCATTCAGCTGTATTAAAATTACTATGTCTGATATTGGGATGAAGTTAGTGACATACTTATTAATATGCTGTTTGATAATTATTGCTACTCCATTTCGATGCATATGGTTTTGATTTCCAGAAAAATAAATGGCGTAACCATTTGCACTGAAATTCCCTTTGTTTGACCATCTTGTTTCACTCGCCCCATGATAGTAATGTTTAATCTGTCCATTTCAGAGAGTAGATTTCTCAACTTACCGGCTTCATATAAGGTTGTTACATTTAGCCACTTTGTATGGATTCTTCATTTTCATCGTATGTCTAGTGATGTTTTCCTCACAGGGATTTCGCTGGCTAGCGACCTAGGAAGCCCTGTGGTTTGATTGTGTATTCCTTCCCCTGCCGGATCTTGAGTTCCGCAGCCCATGATCAGTAGTATTCGTTACACTCATTGATTCCATGATAACTTTACTAGGGATCATAATGGGGTGGTTTCCCGTTGCCTTCCCCATCGCAGTATCACAGCCGCTTAACTCATAATGTGAGTGACGCCTGTGAGTATCTGGAATAAACCTACAGGATTTTTACTTCCCACAGCCTTAATCCAGTAATGACATTACTGCTGCCTAATGTCATATCCTCAGTTGATCCGCGGGTACTTATTTGGCAATACCTTATTCGTACCTGTCCTGCATATCTGCAGGAACTTTCCCTATCAGCCATATGGGACGTGCCGTGTCGAGGTTGAGGACATCCCCCGCCCAGTCTGTCTTCCGTGAAGTACAGAAGAGCCCCTACTCAGTTCAGAGCTCCTCCTCCACGAAAGCTAGACCGGCCACGGTTCTAAAGAACGCCAAGTTATTTTATTATTGGATAATTTTGAATCCCATTTATCGGTTTCTGCTATTATTACTGCAAAGATAATGGAATTACAATTCTAACTCTTTCACCCCACACATCTAACAAATTGCAACCATTGAATAGGACTCTTTTTGGACCATTTAAAAGGTGTTTCAATCAAGGACCAGATGACTGGATGCTCTTTTATCCAGGGAAGGCATTATCAATTTATGACCTTGCACCAATATGTATAAAAGCTTGGGATCGATCTGCAACTCCTTCCAACATAAAATCTGGATTTCGTTGCATTGAAATTTGACCATTGGATAAAAATATTTTTAGTGAAGAAGACTTTCTATGCTCGTTTGTAACAGACAGAATGGTTCATTCAACATCAAAAGACCCAATGTTTCTTCATCAAGTGAATTTTCAAATCGAAATGTAAAAGTGTCATCGCAATTCAGCTTCACTGCATTGTCACAGCCCCACATTCTAGTTCAAAGCAAGCACAAGAAAGATTTCTTATCTCCATCCCAAATAAAAGCATACCCGAATGCTCCAGAAAGAAAATTAACTAGAAAAGGTCCAGTAAAAAGAACAACCATAATAGCAACCGATACTCCGAAACGCAATGCAATTGCAGAAAAGAAATTGAAAAAAGAGACACCACAAATTAATAAAAAAAAAATAGAGATGGTAAAGCGGAGAGTAATGAGCGAGTCTTCTTCCTAAGAGAACATATTCAGGCATATTTAGATTTAGATTTGGAAAATGATGAAGATCAGGATAAGGACCTTATTAGACTTTGAATTGATAGTTTCGTGGTTTGTAAAGTGTTTGGAAAAAAATCTGTTCGACTTTATGCCGCCAAAAAGTTGTTGTAATTGCTATAACGTGAAATTTTTGAAAAAATAAGTTGCATCCAACCAGTTTATAGTTAGTGAAGAGCGTCCAGCATTTGTTACATACGAAGAAGTGATTGTAAAGCTACCAAATCCTTTGACAGATCAAAGTGCCAGATATAAAGACGTGATATATTTTAACATTGATCTTTTCCTAAAGAATTCCTAATTCCATGTGCGAATTTTGTTCTAAACGTACGTTGTGTTGTCTAACTTAGTAAAATGTAAATGTAAAAATAATTTAATAATAAAATATTTTGTAAATTACTGTATGATTTGAAATTTCTCTGATTGCTTTACAGTATTAGGAAAATTACAGTAATGATCGTCACCGAATTGAATTAAGAATTAAGTATCGTTTAAAAAACGTTTATGAATAGATCAAATATTTTAAGTTACTACTGATCTTTATCGCAACAGTGAATTTTATTTACCTTTATCAAATTCAGTGGTTTTTACTTATTACAAACTTACGGTTTGTTATCTTAATTTTGAATTCCTTGTTTGTTTGTGGTATGTTTAGCGTTGTTCGGTGGTTTAGCTATGACATGTATGACGTCATAGTTCAACGACAGAAATCGCCTTACACGTCAAAATATCACTAGATTTTTGTAAATAAAAGTGAAAATAGGGCAACCAACAAAAATTATAATTCTATGAATAAATAATTCATAGTTAAAAATAATAAACAATAAATTGAAAGGTTAAAGATAAAAGTGGACGTATTGTTATTGGTGCTTTAGTAACGTTAAGTGTAAATCATCCAATAGGGCTTGGCTTTCTTTATAAATGAATAGAAAACTATGAAAACATTACAAAGGCGAAAATGAGTACGTATTACCGTTATTTATTAATGAACAAATAATAACTACATAAAAACATATTTTCAGATGAAGTAATAGTAGAGTATGACTATACTGCGAAAGAATCTGATGAGCTGACAATAAAAAAAGGTGACATCATTAAAGATGTAGTCAAGAAACCAGGTGGATGGTGGGAAGGTGTGCTCAAAGATAAAAAAGGAATGTTTCCAGACAATTTTGTTCGACCCTTAGATAAAGACGGTGTAGTTTTCAGGAATAGCAAAGATGTATGCAGAATAAAACAATGCAGGGTAGTATTTTCCTATAATCAAGACCATGAAGATGAACTAAACTTAAAGGTAGGAAAATTTGATTGTATATTCGATTTTTATGTAGATTTTAATTCAATGCAACCGGCAGTTCAGTCACAATTTAATACTAATTGTAACAGTTAAAAGATCCATGGTATTGTTAACACTGTAGAAATAATGAGTCATATGTACACTAAAGTTGTTTGTGATGTTGTCACAACAACCCAAAACAGGTCCAATTCCTTGGAGGTAATCACTGTAATAGAGCTAGATGTCTGTTAGCTCAAAACTCCTGGAAAACTTCTATTTTCTCTCAGGGATGTTGATATCTTTGATTTAAATTAATAAAATGATGGAATTGTCAGTTTTGATCGCCTTTGCAAATCAGTTTGTTTTTAGTCTTCTAATAATATACTCAGATCTTTTTTGCTGTATGCCTTAGATTTAATATATTTTGAAGATGATTTCCCATTGTGAAGATTTGGTACAAATATAGTGCTTGATGCCAATAAGTCTGTCTTTAAAGTACAAAGCATGCTCAGATCTATTTGTTATAGTTTTTTTTATCACAATAATGGCATATTTCATTCACGATTTTGTGATCTGTGATACATCTAGAGGGGAACATTTTTGACATGAGAGGAGCAACAAAACAAAGTACTTACTTGTTTGTTTTTTTTTTTTAATTACTGTGTTTACCTTGCCATAATACAAACAGTTCATTACAGATTTTTGTCTGAATCTTTTCCTCATTTTGCTTCAAGAAATATTTTAATTTACTTTTTTAATTAGGAATATGTATCAATTTTATATATTATCTCTTTGCTAATGCTAATGTAGCAAATAATAGACAACCTCATGCTGCTACTTTTGATAGCCAAGATTCAAACTCTATTCTTATGAAGATTTTAGAAGAATTCAAAGCCATGTTTAATCAAATCTTGAAAAATCTTTAAAAAATAGAAAAAATGGTATGCTGTTGCTAATAATTATGAATAATGATGTTTTATATGTAATTGCTATTTCGAATATTTAAGAAAAGGTAAAAAAACTGATGCTCATAAGCGGCAGTGGCACTGATTTTCATATCCGTGTACCGTTGACGCTTATAAGCGTTGCCTATACTCTACAGTAAACCATTATTTATTTCAAAACATGTAACAAAAATAAACCTAAATATTAATAAAACTTTTGCTGCTATATTCTATTTGTAAATTATGATGCTGCACTTTAGACAATATCCTGGATTTCCAGGACAAGTTTCGCACACATAGAACACATTTTATGTTGTATCCGTCTGTTTTTTTTTTCTTTGGAACAGCTTTGACATCTTTTTCTGTCGAGGTGTTTTTTACCTAGAGTCGCTTCACTTTTTATCAGCCTATGTTCGCTATTTGATGCTTTTTTTATTTAAATTCTCATAAGGAGGGAAAATTTCATTTATGATTGCCATTCTAAAATCAAATGATGACATTTTCTGTCCAGAATATATATTATATAAGTGAAAGCATTATTGAGCATCATGTCCATAATATGGAAAAAAATTTCTTTGGCCATCATTACTCCTTTACCATATTGCACAATGGTTTCTCCCTTTTTCAGCTTAAGTACTGAAATAACAGCTTTGGGTGTCATTTTTCTATTAGACCGAAGTATGCAGGTGCAGTGAGTCTGATTCTTAATTAGAGTTCTGGCTAAAGAAAAACTGTTGTAATAGTTGTAAAATTGTCCATATAAATATGATGGCCAACATTTAATAATCCATGCATTAAATATGGGACAACTTTTTCAGAATGTCCTTTACCTCCAGTATCATTTAACATACCAGTATATACAGCAAATTTCTGAGCAATAACTCTAGGGCTTGTTAATAAATATAACTTAATCCCATATTTGTGTTTTTTTAATGTATTGCTTGAACATAAGCCTGCCGCAGAAAAGAACCATAGATTCATCTAAAGATTACTCACATCCTGGATAAAATATTTCTGCGATTTTTTCATTAAAGAAATTTATTATCAGTCGTATTTTGTAAAGTCTATCTTCAGGTCTAGATTCATCTGGTGGGGGATTTCTGGAGAAATGAAGTGCTCGCAGTATCAGCAAGAACCTGTTTCTACTCATACTAGAAGAATATAATGCCATACTGGCGTTATTGAATAAAGGGTCTCGTTTTGAATAATCGCGCATCCTTGGTGTTCCTACAACACCCATATGTAAATATATTAATAATTCTTTCTTCATCACATTTTTCTATGAACAAATTCTAGATTTTTCTTGTGCCTGCACTGATAAAAAAATATTTTCCTCTTTATTTGTTTCATCAACTATAAATTCTGAAATGTTATCAGTAAATATACTAGGTACGAAAAAAACAGATTGGAGTGTTTTCTGGTATAACTGTATTGAATTACTGATATTTTAGTAACGGAAAATCTTTCCTCTCACCTGGTACATTTTCCCAACAGATGTCGGAATATTCATCTACAGTTTCTTCAGCTGGAGGTTGTTGTAAATCTACATTTTCTTCAGCCGCAGGTTGTTGCGAATCAGATATTACTTCTCCAATTTCATTCTCACTCTATGAGTCCGTTCCTGTCCATCCGCGATAAAATTCCTCTTTCAATTCAGAATCACTAAACTCATCACTATTTTCCAACATTTCTAACAATTCTTCTGGAATTACCAGCCTCAACATACTCATTTTGCATGATAATAAAACAATAAAAATATTTGAAAAACTTGAACCACATGTATTTATGAGTAAAAAATTTCCTTCTTGAGTGCCTACTGAGAAAGATGCAGCACAACTGCGTAGATTTCTGCATCATAAAGGAATATCTAACACCTTTATGGACATAGTTCCAAGTTATGACCTATCATTGAATCAGTTACCAATTATTGCAACAACTGCTTAACTAACAAATAACCTACTTCAAAACTGCATGGACCTAGAACAATGCTGGATAAAAACATTGAATTAAACATAAGACTAAAAAGCCTTCCAGAAATTGAAGCAGCTGCAGATAACCTTATGACATTATTGTAAAACACTGCAAAAGAAGCAACACCAAATGATGCAGATAGAAATAAAATCGGGGATAGAATAATTATTTCACTATAAATATAAAATTCATTCTCGAAAACAGAAGAGCAAGAGCCAAATGGCAACAAAGTCAGCATCCAGCAGACATTTTACAATCATTTAACTAATAAATTAAAATCACTAAGGTAAATGACCAGTCATTGCCACTATAAGAAAGTTAAAGCTAAAAACCATATAAAGCCAAAAAACCAATAATTGCCACACAATTTTTCAAAATACCAATTATTGCCACCCAGTCATTGCCATACAGAAATAACTCAACCTTTTACTGAAAAATCTTGTTTATTAATAAAAATTCCACAGGTTTTAGGCCTCAAATACATCCACTGGTAAAGTAAATTCATAACGGATCTGTTCACCAGTGGATAAAACAATAGGGGTCAGTAGTATGCCTAAAACACGATTTTCGTTAACAAAGTAGATGTATTTTTCATCACAAATAAAAATGTTCTTTTCAGCACTAACAGATTTCATAGACATTACTTGTACATCGTTATTGTCCATAAGGCCTTGAATAATACAAACATATCTGTATGTTATGGATTTTTTTTACCACCTAGGAATTTCACAAGTACATAGTTTCCCACACTAAGTTAGTCCCACGTGAGTTAATGGGCAAAATTCTTTGTTAGGGTCATCACAAAAGTCTATGTGCAGTCTATCACAGCTGCTACCACTCTCCACCCACTCTTCATCCTTTCCATCGTCATCAGAAATATCCCGTTTTAGCTTCTCTTTTAGTAGACATTCTTGCTCTCTTGAAATTTTTCTTTGGTTCTTTTTCTTTTCATTTTCTTTTTTCAAGTAATATTCACGCCAAGCTTCTGATTGTACTCTCCAAGTGTACATGTTATGTACTTGGTTCAGGAGTAGACAATATATCTGAGCTACGAGTACCAGAGATATTTGGTTGGAAATTTTTTACTGGTGTTCAGTTGAGTTGGAAATATGGTAGAGGTAATGGATTTTGGGAACAGCTATGACCTTGAACATTTCACATAAGCTTGTGTACTAAATAGGCATAATGCATAGCTCTTGTCAAAATCCAATACATTAATAATATAATTACATATCTTCGATTCTAAAATATTGTAAAAGACTTTAAAGAGTATGAGTAAGAAAAGAGATATTTAGTTATATCCTTTGTGGCATTTTCAAGGTCATAGCTGTTCCCAAAATCCATTAACTCTAATATTGTTTTGGATGGTACATTTAATTTGGTTTGGTAGTGTTTCCATTGTCCATTCTTTCCATATGTTAAAAAGGGATTTATCCTCAATAGAACCATTCCAATCCCGATTTTCATTTAAAGTTACTTTGAACCTATTTAAAGTTTCTTCACCCGGCTTTCCTTCAAAATAATTAAGTGCTTAAGTGACACTCTTTGTGTCACAAAGCTTGTCGAAACCATTTGTCACTGGGATGGCTATGAATAAATGATTTCTCTCTTTCTGTAGAATTTATTATTTTCTGAACTGTATCCAAAAACTGAACTTTTGAAACAGGAAAATGTCTTTCTGATAGATGTAAAATCCATTTCACTAAGACTGATTCATCTTCTTTGGTTAAAATTGTAAAAATTTTAATATAGAACAAAATAATGGTGACTTTCCATCTCTCTTATGCCTCAAAGTACTATGAGGAACTCCATGAATTTTTGCTGCTGTAGCTGCTGGGATTCCCTTTTTCACATTCTCTAGGGCTTTGGCCAATTGCTCTTTCAAATAATTCCGTTTAGGTGCCATTTCTGGAATGAATAAAATACTTGTAATACCAAATATTAATGTAACCAATGATTGCCACTTTAGAACCAGTGATTGCCACCACTGGCAATAATTGGTAAAAGTAAAGTTTTTTAATAAAAAAAATAGTGGCAACACCATAATTTCAAATAGTAAATTTACACATTATATAATGAATTAAAAATAAGCCAAACCAATAATGACCACTTGTGGCAGTGACTGGTATTCATAAAATATTTTGTAACCAGTCATTGCCCGGTAGATTTCTTTAGAAATATGTACCTTTAACTGAATTT